AATACAGTTGTAGGACTTTGTAGTTCCATAGATGACTTTGTGTATTTCTAATCAGGTGCTTCAGTTTACTGCAGTGTGCAAACTTTATTACATATTTTATTATTTTTAAAATAATTACAAATATATATAAATATCTTCTTTCCTATCAGTCAGAAAGACTTTGACAAAGTCCCATACCAAAGGCTCTTGAGTGAAGTAAGCAGTTATGGGAGAAGAGGGAAGATCCTCTCATGGATCAGTAACTGGTTAAAAGACAGGAAACAAAGGATAGGAATAGATAGTCAGTTTTCACAGTGGAGAGAGGTAAATAGCTTGGTCCCCCAAGGATCTGTACTGGGACCAGTGCTGTTCAACATATTCATAAAGGATCTGGAAAAGAGGGTAAACAGTGAGGTGGCAAAGTTTGCAGACGATACAAAATTACTCTAGATAGTTAAGTCCAAAGGTGACTTGCTAAGAGCTACAAAGGGATTTCACTAAACTGGATGACTGGGTAACAAAATAGCAGATGAAATTCAGTGTTGGTAAGTGCAAAGTAATGCAAATTGGGAAACATAATCCAAACTATACATACAAAATGATGGGATCTAAATTAGCTGTTACCTCTCAAGAAAGAGATCTTGGAGTCATCATGGATAGTTCTCTGAAGACATCTGCTCAGTGTGAAACAGCAGTCAAAAAGCTAACCATGTTAGGCGCCATTTAAAAAGGGTTAGGCAAATAAGACAGAAAATATCCTTATGTCGCTATACAAATCCATGGTATGCCCACATCTTGAATATTGCATGCAGCTCTGGTTGCCCCATCTCAAAAACAAACAAACAAACAACCTACTAGAATTGGAAAAGGTTCAGAGAATGGCAAAAAAATGATTAGGTGTATGAAACAGCTTCCATAAGGGAACAATTAAAAAGACTGGGAGTGTTCAGCTTAGAAAAGAGACGGCTAAGGGGGATCTGATAGAGGCTATAAAATCATGACTGGTGTGGAGAAAGTGAATAGGGAAGTGTTATTTACCACTTCATATAACACAAGAACTATGGGTCACCAAATGAAATTAATAGGCAACAGGTTTAAAACAAACACAAGGAAGTATTTCTTATCACAATGCACAGTCAACCTGTGGAATTTGTTGCCAGGGGATTTGTGTGGATGGCCAAAACTATAACTGGATTAAAAAAAGAATTAGTTAAGTTCATGGAGGATAGGTCCATCAGTGGCTATTAGCCAAATGTCAGGGACACAACCCCATGCTCCAGGTGTCCCTAAACCTCTGACTGCAAGAGGCTGGGACTGGACCACAGGGGATGGATCACTCAGTAATTGCCCTGTTCTGTTCATTCCCTCTGAAGTATCTGGCACTGGCCACTGTCGGAAGACAGGACACTGAGCTAGATGGACCATTGGTCTGACCCGGCATGGCCGTTCTTATGTTTTTACATTAATCAATCACAATAAATAATAAAACAGAATTGGACAAATACAGGATTCACAGCCCTATATTTTTATTTATTTTTAAGAAAAAAACCCAAAGAAATTAAATGCAAAAAATGGTGTTAATGAATTAGGGTTACCACTTTAAATATCAAAAAAGCTATGAAATGCCACTGTTAAGGTTCGCATAGTAACAAACTTGCTTTCGTGGAACATGCAGAATATTTTGGATTATAATTGAAAATATAGGTTATGAAATATGGGACAATTCAATGTAGCTTTGTAAACCTAAGCATTTGCATTTCTTGAGTTTTTACAATTTTTTTCAGCTTGCAGCCTTACCCGTTGCATTCATGCAGGCCTTTGAATACAATCGTGGTTTGTGCTGTTTCTGGTCAGTGCTTTCTTTCCATGTGCGACATTAGTGACACTGGAACTGAAGGCTGCAGTGTAATGCTAACCAGTTGGAGAGGGAAATCCAAAGGCGTTTGTCCCATCTTTTGTACACGTCTTTCCCTCACTGGTCTCCTCCTCCATATTGCAGATAGCTGTGCTCTCTCTGTGAATTTGGAGGCATAAAGAGCTGGATTCACAAAAGAATGTAGATGCCTAACTGTTCCCTGAGTGACCTAAATCTCAGTGGTGTTCACAAAAGCCCTGTAAGCAGGGGGACTGGACCAATTTGTAGAGTGGGGGAGCTGAGAGCCATTGAACCAAACTTAAACCCTGCATATGATGGAAACCACTTCAAGCCAGGGGATGCAGGAGCACCCCCAGCTCCCCAAGTTCCAGCACCTATGCCTGTAGGTGCCCAAGCTCACTCACTGCCTAAATTTTTGCAGTCAAAGTTCCCTAGGCACCTATGTTTCTGCCTCTGCACATATGTACTGCAGCCCCACACCAGGCACCCAGACACCTAAGCCCCAGAGTGATTCACAAAAAAATTGGCATCCTTCTACCGAACTCTACACAGAGACTTGTTGGAGCAGGGGGACTGGATCCTGGGTGAATGCTTTAACCACCAGGCTATAGAGTCATGCCTGTGTTTGCACTCTGTCTGGCCCAGTGACTCTTTCTGTATCCACAGGGGAACAGCTTCAGCAGGAGAGACTGAGGGATCATCCCACCTCGGTGCTTAGCGCATGCATGTGTGAGGTGGGAAACCCCAGTTTAAATCCCTTTTCAGCAGGCTGGTGGGGGAGGGGAGGGTTTGAATGTGGGGGGTCTCCCACATCCCAAGTGAGTGTTGTAACCACAGGGAGGTTCTCTTCCTCCTCCTCTGGCTTCTGCAAAAAACACCTTAGGCTCCTAACTCGACGAGATGGTTCACAGCTGAGCTAGAGGGGGCCTCCTCCAGCCTGGACATAACACAAACTTCCTAGGGGGTGGGCCTTAGGACATACACCGCTCTTCGGCAGCTCCCATTGGATAGCTTGGGCAGCTCAGTGTGCTGGCTCCGATGAATCCCATTCCTAGGGGCCTGACTCCATTCATTCATTGTACAGGGAGCCTGAGTGCCAAACACAGGTTGGGTTTAGTGTGCGGGTGCCGGGTGGTCTGTCATACCCAGGAAGTCAGACTAGATCTGGTGGTCCCCTCTGACCTTAAACGCTATGACTCTAACTCAGGCTTCGGGAATCCCAGTGATTTTCTGGGCACCTAAAAGTCTGGCATTGCAACATTGAGCGTCACAGTACCTAAATCCCCTTGTGAATCTAGACCAGAGTATCCAGAAAAGTGACAGCATGGTATGGAGTTCTGCATCCCTTAGGGGGGCAGCATTAGCGCTACATTTTGTGTTCGTATTTCTGTGTTTACAGCACTTGTCCAGACTCTAGGCACATCAGTGATTTCAACAAACATTCAATAGAAAATGTTGGATTTACATTTACAGATTCAGTTAATAACTCTTGGGCTGTTGAGCAAACCTCACTCAGCCTTCCTGACCATCCCAGCCACAGATCCACTGGGACTGTCTGCTCTCTCACCAACAGCTTGGCTGTCTCAGAAGCTTCCTTTTTTTTAAAAAAAGGGAGGGGGGCTTGCACTTTCCATTAGAGCAGGGATTCTCAAACTGGGGGTCGGGACCCCTCAGGGGATTGTGAGGTTATTATGTGGGGGGTCGCGAGCTGTCTGCCTCCACTCCAAACCCCGCTTTGCCTCCAGCATTTACAATGGTGTTAAATATTTTAAAACAAGTTCTTAATTTATAGGAGGGGCCACACTCAGAGGCTTGCTATGTGAAAGGGGTCACCAGCACAAACGTTTGAGAATCACTGCACCAGGGTCACCAGCACAAACGTTTGAGAATCACTGCACCAGGGTCACCAGCACAAACGTTTGAGAATCACTGCACCAGGGTCACCAGCACAAACGTTTGAGAATCACTGCACCAGGGTCACCAGCACAAACGTTTGAGAATCACTGCATCAGGGTCACCAGCACAAACGTTTGAGAATCACTGCATTAGAGAACAGAGGTCCAGAGAGCCAAGGGGCCCTCGCAGAGAATGCCCTGCAAGCAGCTCATTCCTGTTTAAGCCAAGAGTGCTCCAGTTGGAGCACCTCTGCTGATCACTTCAGCGGGAACACCTGAGGGAGAAGAATAGCTTGAGCTGCAGCCAGCCCAAGGTTTGAAATCTGAGAGCTCTCTCCCACCTAGCGCACCAGATAGACAACCCTGAGTCAAGAGTGGCTATACGCACAGTGCTGCACGCAGCTGTGCCCTTGTAATGCTTAGTGAAGATGCTACCTATGCAGACGGGAGAACTTCTCCTATCGGCGTAAGTACTCCTCCTCCCCGCGATAGCGTTGTCTACACCAGGAGTTCGGTCAGTTCAACTGCATCACTCAGGGGTGTGGATTTACCCCTCCGTGATGTGGTTATACCAACAGAAGTCTGTAGCGGAGACCAGGGCTCACTGACAAAGGGACTTGTTGGGTTGTTACTTGTTGGGTTGTTTGGAGCTGGTTTCTAAGCCGCTGCCTTTCTGTGCTTGGCAGGAGGAAGTGACAGGTTGTAACATTTCCATTTAAAAAGCAGCCCATTGTAACGGGTCAGAAGAGAAATGCCCTTGTTCGGAAAAGTGCAAATGAAAGCAAATCTCGTGTTTCTGGACGGGAGGCCTTTCACGACCGAACGCCCCAAAACAGCTGCACTTTGAGAGAAAGACCTGGTCAAGCCTCAGTCCCCTTCCCCACCTCCTGAAGCTCAGCCTTTCACAGCCTGCTTAATCTGGAGAGAGCCTTCAGACTGAGCCCTGCAAAGGTTCCCAGTGTGCTCCTCCCTCAGTGGGACCCCAGTACCACCGGGCCTGCTCTGCTGAGTTCAGAGCCGCAGATATCCCTTTAGTCGAGAGTTGGCATCCCCAGGGCCTGCTCTCTGCTCAATCTGCTGCGTGGCGTGTGTGTTAGAGAAAAAGGAGGAATTTGACTGGAAGATAGAGAATGAGGAGCCAGGAATTACAAAACTCCAGCCCCCCAGGGAAACCGTTGAAGACGCTGTGTGCTGTCAAACGTTTGACAGAATGTGCTGGCAAGTCTAAGTGCAGCTCTTTCTCTTTGCAGACACTGAAGCTGCCTCAGGTGAAGGAGCCTCACAAGGCAGTAAGTACGAACTTCTCTGTGTGTGTGTGAGGGGGGACTGGCGCACGGCGTGTGTGAGCGCATGGTGCAATGGCTGTGGGCATGTTCCGGGGCAGGTGTTTTACCTCGCAGCAGGTGAACATCTCTTTCCATTCTGTTGAGTGATACATCTAGGGTCGCTTGCGATGTGTTCCAGCTCTCACTACAGTACTGGCATTGTGGAGTTTACATCTAGCTTGTCACTCTCCTCTCGTTGCCCTGAGTTTGTGTGTCCAAGATCTTTTATGTGATGTCGGCTACTTATGCAGATCAGAAGAGAGACGTGGAGGGGCTGTGTTCAGCATTGCAGTCAGTCATGTGACCATTCTCTAACTTTAAAAAAGCCGCAGGTGAGTTGGATTGGAAAGTGACAGACAGGGATGACATCATCCCCTTCGTGAGAGGCCTGTAGTCCCCTATGAATTAAAATGGTACCCATTGATGACAACAATCGTCCAGACAGCCCCTGGGTCTTTGTTTCAATCATGCCGATCCCTGTATCTGTCCTGATCTCTTGTGCCAGTGTGGGAGATCCGCTTTGCTAAGCTGCATTCACTGCACTTTTCCACAGCGTACCACAAGAGGGCAGCTTCCACTGTGCTAATGAGAAGCTGCGTTTGATGAGAGTTCTAAGGGCAGTGCAGGAAAGGTGCTTTCCTGTTTGTGGTAGATGCATAAAGACAACCGAGCAACCCCTTTGTTCCCCTAGTGTTCTTATTTCTCTCGCTCGCTCCCCACATACATAGGGTATAACTTAGTTTTGTGAATGCAAATTTAACTCTATTGATTTACCCCAGTGCTTTGCTGCTGTGTGACCTCTCGGACAGTTCTGACATTTGGGGCGGTTTTGTCATGCACCCTTTTAAGCACCTTGAGTGGTGCCGAGCTTGTAGGGGGGCAAGGCCACAAGGAAATGGTGACATCTCAGTGTATCCTGAATTCCTCCTTCCTTCCATGCCCTCCCCAGTGCTCGGGCATGGTGTCATACGGGGATTGGATGACGATCACGTTGCACGGTCATTCGTGACCAGAGCAGTGAGCAGTATAAATTGACTCCTAGTTTGTAAAACGCTCTTCCTGACTGGGAACATACTCGGTGTTTCCAACTCTTAAGAATTTGTCAAGAGTCTTGAATTATTTAGTAAAAAGAAGAACAGGAGTACTTGTGGCACCTTAGAGACTAACAAATTTATTAGAGCATAAGCTTTCGTGGACTACAGCCCACTTCTTCGGATGCATATAGAATGGAACATATATTGAGGAGATATATATACACACATACAGAGAGCATAAACAGGTGAAATAACAGAATACCACTAGCTGTCACCTTCATCCCCCAACTAAAACCTCTCCAGCGCATCATCAGAGCTCTGCAACCGATCCTGAAAGCCGATCCTTCAATCTCACAGAGCTTGGGAGACAGTCCTGTCC